CACACACACACACTACACACACACACACACACACACACACACACACACACACACACACACACACACACAGAGCAACACAAGCAGCCCACTCCCGCCATCCACCCCCTCACCCCCACCACTGCAGCTGAGGCTGACCTGGACCGTGTGGCAGCCAAGGGCATGATCCCTGTTCTTCCAGACCACCGCCGCAGGATACTGGCGGCCAGCGCCGCCTGCGCCGCCGCAAGGGTGCGCGCGCTGCCCTGGGGCCTGGGTGTGGGGCGGGGACGTTGTGGGGCTGCCCGGCAGAGGGATGTGGGCATGCTCGGCACGAAGTCGTGGCGGGCGGCCGTGATCGCCGCCTTCTCGGGTAAGCGACGGCGAACCTGATTGGTCGTGTCCTGCGCGCCGCGCGCCTCCGACGCAAATGCTGCGCAGGCGCGCGAGTCAGGGACTGGAGGGCGCCACGGCGGCGAGGCGGGGGGCGGCGTCGGCGCGCGCCAGGGGCCGCCTCGCGCGGGCGGCGGCGGCGGCTGCGACGGCCAGCGGGCGTGGGCGGCGCAGCAGCGGGCGCTGCAGGCGCTGCTGCAGCACGCGCGGGCGGCGGATGGGGGTGACCCGGTCGAATCCGCTAGTGTATGGGTCGGCGCAGCCAGGGGCGCCGCTTGCACCCAGGGCCCCCTCCGCAGCAGGCTCCCTCAGAGTGGCGGCCTGGGCGACACCCCCGCCTGTGCGCCTTCCGGTGGTTTGGGCGCTACTTGGGGCAGCGGCGGCGGTGCCGATGCCCGAAGCCCGCGTGTGAGCGCTGCTGTGTTCGAGGCGGGCGCTGGGGCGGGGGCAGATGCGGGTCCCGGGTTTGAGGTGCGGGACGCGTACGCCGGGGTGACGCAGTCACCCGAGCCCAAGAGTCGCGGTCTCGCCCGTGCGAACAGCGGCGGCGGCGGCCGCGGGCTTGCCACAGTTGCAACCAGCACCAGCGGCCTGCCGACCCCCGCGCGTCGCTCGGCCGAGGCGCGCGGTTCGCATCCCGGCGCGCCATGGGGCCGCGCGGCGGGCGGCGGCCCGTCGCTGCGCGCGTCGCGGGCGGGGGCGCCGATCAGCGGCGTGCGGCGCAGCCGCGCGACGCTGTCCTTCCACACATCAGACGTGGCGCGGCCGTCGTCCGCCGGGCGGCGCTCGCCCGCAGGGCGCGCGGACGCGGCGGCGCCCGCAGCTTTCTTCGGGCTGGCTGACGCGCGCGCGAGCACTTCCTGGGCGCCGGCGCCGGTCGCGCCCTCCAGGCTGCCGCGCCGCGCGGCGGCTGGCGAGACAGGATCCGCAGCGGGCAGGTACAGCTCCGGCGGCGGCGGCGCCGCCGCCGCCGTTGGCGCGCGGCCGGGCGAGGGCGCATCGGTGGGCGCGGCCGCCGCCGCCCTGGCAGCCCCGCCGCCGGAGGCGGCGGTAGCAGTGGTGAGGGCCGCGCCTGGCACTGCTGTCGCCGCCGCTGCCGCCCCGCAGGCGCGGGCCAAGGGCTGGCTGGGGGGTCTCGCGCTCGCGCGCGGCGGCGGCGGCAACGGCGCTCAGGACTCGCCCTTGAGGGCGGCCCTGGCGGGCGCGGTGCGGCGCGGCGTCGCGATGGCGGCCGGCGCGCCGCCGCGCGCCGCAGGGCGCGGCCCCGCGGCTGTCCTGCCTGCACCGGCCGCTGCGCCGGGGCCGGTGCGGAGCGCTTCCGATGCAAATGGTGCGATGGGGCCCCTCAGCCAACACAGGGCGGCCTCGAGCGCGAGCGGCGGGGCCGGGGGCACGGCGCCGGTGCGCAGCAGCTCCGACGCGGCGGCGCAGGGGCGAGCGCAAACAGGCAGCGGCGGCGCCGGTTCTGGGGAGTTTGATGACTGCGCTATGAGCCGCCGCGCCTCTGTCGGAGCGGATGGCGGAGTGGATGGCGCCGGCCTCGCAGCCGCGCCCGGGCTCGCCTGGGCCGCAGGAGCGGGACCGGGCGCGGCCGGCGAGGCAGCGGACCGCTACCGGCCAGCGCGGCAGCCGGGCCCCAGCCGGCCCGCCGCGTCGGCCGCAGCGGGCCCGATGGGAGGCCGCAAGGCAGGCGGGGCGGCGCGATAATGCAATGGCGAGGTGTCGTCGGCGGCGGAGGCAGCGGGGGTGCGGACCCCGTGAGTGGCGCAAGCCCCATGCTCCGCGTGGGGCATCGATCAACGGCCTCCTAGTTGTGGGGTTTTGCCACCCCTGAACCGCAGCACCTTCCTGCTTCCGCTGTCCCGTTGCCTCCGCTTGCTCCCCTGCCCCATCGCGCGGCCGCCGCGCCAGCCCAGCACCAGCCGCGTAGGGCGCTTTGGGGGTCTAAGCCCCGCGCAAGAGCTTCCAGGTGGTCGCCGCTCCCTCTTTCGTGCGGCTGCCCGCTGCCACGCCTTTGCGGCGCGCCCCCTGTTTGGTTCTGTGCACCGCCGCTTCGTGATGATGTCACCATTCAGGTCGAATCGCGAGCCTCGCCCCCTCACTTTTTGCGCCGCTCGCTCCTGCCCGTCACGGATGCAGCAGGCTAGGCCCATGATATTTGCAGGCACCAGTGAGCAAGATGATGCGATCTGGGTTTTATGCAGCCCCTCTGCACATTCTGATTGAGTTTCCCAACCTTCATTGTGACCTTTGACCAGGTGTGATACCCAAATCCATGCACAGGCCCCCTGCAAATTCTCCAAGCTTTTTTGCCGTCCGATTTTGATAATGTGCAAGTGCACCCGCACGCGTTGTGGACCGGACCCTCGCAGCTGCCGCGCAGCTGCACCGCAGCGCCTCTCAGCGACCGCCGAGGGTGACAGGTGGGGACAGGGCTTGAACAGCAGAGGCGATCCAACAAGATTGTTGGGGTGGCATGGACGTTACACATGCTCATACATGCAGATTACGCACGGGGACAGCACTACTCCTCGACTGCCAGGCACCTTGCCGTTCAATAGGTCAAGACTGCAAACAACGGGGCCACTTGTAACATACGTCAGCGCGGGGCGCGGCGGGGCGCCGGTCACGAGTCAGTGCTGGATGGGTGAAGGGGGGGTCCACGGGGGCTGCTGGGGCCGTGCAAGCGCGCGCGCACGCACGCAGATCACAGGCGTTGTGGGGGACAGGAGTGCGGTTGCGGTTCATACGCCTTCTGCGGATCGCATTTGAAGCTACACCTCACGGGACAGAGGAGACCTGAGTGGGTCACGGAAAACAGCTGTGGGGGCACAGGTGTCGTGGACCCCAAAAAAAGCATACGGGCACGCGCTCGGCGGTGCAGGCCGAATCTCAGGGGCAGGCTAATAGGGCGGGCCCGCTGGGGCTGGGGCCTCGTCTTTTGACCGCAAATGGGGAGCACATCCCAAGGCCTGGGAGGCTCTTAAGATTGAGAATACAGACTGGATGGAGGCCCGGCAAGGAGATATCTGGGTTTGCGGCAGAGGCTAGAGAATACACAGTGCGACCTATGCCTGCCTGCCTGCCTGCCTGCCTGCCTGTTGTCTGCTGCTGCTGAAGGCGCACGCGCCAGGAGTAGCCGCTGGCCGTGGCATAAAAGCGCGATAAGGGAACGAATGATGGCGCTGGCTGGATCACGGGGCGAAACCAAAGGGTCACATCATACGGCCAAAAACACAGAAATGCATGCATGCGCGCCCACCAACCTCTGAAACGAACGCCGGCGCTTGCCTGCGCAGGAGGCTGGAGCCGCAGCAGTGCCGAGCCCGCTCTGGGGCAGACCCCGGCCTCGAAACTGGGGCTGGCGGCTGCACCAGCTCACTCCCCAACCCATGGACGAGAGGTGGCGCTCAGGGACGTCGCAGCAGGGCACACCAAACATGACGCAGCCCGACACGCTGCGGGGCCCGTCGTCCGCAGGCACGACGCCTCTGCGGTCAAACCAGGTCAGACCAGATCTGTAAGGTCAGATCGGATCTGATCAGATCCCGGATCACGACGCGGACTCTGCGGCGATCTCCTGTACGGCCGCCCTCGCCGCGTCCGCGTCGTTCTCGGCGCAGCACCACCGCAGGAACTGGTACGGCACCGACAAGAAGTGCGCCGCCGACCCTGGATCCGCGAGCTGCGCGTTGAGCGCCCTGAACACCTTTGAGCGCGTAGCGCTGTCGACGTCCAGCGCTTTGAGCAGGGAGAGGGCGCCATTGAATGCGAGGCTTTTGGCCTTGGGGTCTGTGGCTTCCCCGGGCTTCAGGTCGATTTCGGGGAGCACCGGCAGCTGCGCCCGTGCGGCCGCAGCTGCGGCGGCCGCGGCGCCAAGCGCGCCGCCGCCGGTGCTGCCGCTAGCGG